CTCTCCCTGCCACTTCCGCCCAAAAAGACAGGATACAAATTCTCCCTTTTACTTCTGTTGGTTTCCGCCCACGGAGTTGCCTTCCCACAGCTGACGGCCCTTGGAAGCCTAAAACTGCTTCCTTTGTCCGGTCCTGTTCTTTGTAGGAGATGCCACACTAGCTGGAATTCTACCTACCTACCACTTTGAATTCCTCTTTGTGGAGGTTTCTTCCGCGCGGTGTGACCACAGGCACTAGGAAACTGTTACTAATCTGTTCGTTCAAGAGCCCCAGCTGAAAACCCAGGTTGGGTAGAGTTAAAATTTTGCCTCCCCTCCCCCTACAAAACCAAAAAACTTCCTGGTTTTCCATTCACTGGGTCTGCTCTACACCTCTGAATAGAGGCGGAGTACAAATGATATCTTTTGATTTTTTTCTTTCTTAAGTCCTTTTTTTTTCTGACATAAAATGTGTGTGTGTGAACCGTCCTCCCAGACTGTTTCTTCATCTGCTAATAATGTGTCAGACAGGGGTATCTTAATCATGGATGGAATTATTACTGTTCCTAATGCCCTAACATCTCCATGAGTGCTGACAGCCTCTCCTTTCTAGTTCATTCTGCTCAGCGCAAATTAATGCTTTTATCTTGACATTTCCTAGCTCAAACACATTAAAATTCTCTCTGATGATATAGAAAACAATTGATCTGATATTTAAATTCTTCTGTCATAAAACCTCACGGCTTTCTTCTCATTTTATCTTTGATGTATTGGTTTATACATCTGTTACAGCCACTTGTCTCCTCATAGCCCTTTGTACCTCCTTGATTTCAACCCCCCGTTAACGTTATTTCTGCCTTTTGAGATAACCTTCCTTTTCTTCCCTCCTTCCACCAAGTCTAAGTGACCTCCCTACCCCTCCACTGCACATCTGAACGGCCGTAGCAATCAATGGCACGTACCTTCTTTGGATTTTGTAATATCCTTTATTACTTTAAGCTACAGAAGCTTTTAATGAGTTTCTTGATTGATTATTATAGGAGAGGAATAAATGAGTAAGTTTCCGGTTGGGGTTTCTCTGGAAATTTGACCGTAAGTATTTATTTATTTTGCAGTTTGCAAGTTGATATGCTGTGTGTGTGTGTGCTCTGAGTATTACAGTGGTCATTCTTCTAACAGGTGAGCGGCTTAACTTACAAACTTTTTCCGGTTCTTCATGGCCAGCAGATCTAAATATCTGTATCTCAGTCTCAATTCTGAATGCCTCAGTTCTCAGGTAATAAAGGGGTTTGTAGAGACTTGTCCTTGTATCCTACCAGTTTGGCAGCTTTCACTATACTCTGCTTCTATTAAAAATACTCTCGGAATTCAGTCATGACTTTATAGGATGTCTTGATCTTCGACTAAAATAGTCGTAAATTCTCAGATGACCAGCGGATAGCAAGAGCAATAACTATTTTTTAAAATTTGAGAGTATTTTGTGTGAGTTAAAGCGCTCATGTTAAAGAACGCTATGCTTTATTATTTGTGTTTAATTCTCACAAGATATGAAACAGATATAGTTACAAAATCCATTTACAGTCAAAGAAATAGAGGCCAGAGTGAATCAGTTGCCTCACAAAAAAGAAATTCCAGAGCCAGACCTGAGACTTGTCTGCTAAGTTTCTGTTTCTCTAATTCCTGATATTTTAACCACTGTGCAACACTGCTTCTATAATTGCAATATTTTTTAAGTTTCTTTTGGATCAAGAGTAAGTTATATTACTAAAAGTTGCTCTATGAAGGATTTGTTTTATCGCTATCACGTTATGTTAAAAGAAAAAAAGAGAACGAAGGCCACAAGTGATTGGTTGCAAGATTTCCTCTGTTGGAGTAGATTTGTAAAAATGAAGATGTTTTAATTCTCCTCCAGGCATTATGGGTTTACATTGTGAAAAGAATTTAAAGATAGACTTTCATTTCTGAGCCACGGCCTCATAGTTCTCAGAACTTGACTTTCCATCTGCCTTTTTTGCTTGATTTAGCTCTGAAGTTGGACTAACACTTAACACCCCGGATTCTTGTTTCCTTTGTCATTTGCAAGGGTTCTGAAATTCTTCCTGCTTGCAGCCTCTTCTGTCACTCTGGAGTTCTGGGAGCTCAATGCTGTGGATTATTTAGACATCTGGAAGTCAAATATTTATAGGAAGGGTTTCTCTAAGAAGTACTTACATTCATTCATTAGTTGATTAGCTGAAAAACAAATGTTGAAGCACAATGTATTTCATTACCTGTTCGTGGTTGCCTGGATCCATTTCCGAACATTACAGACAAGAAAAAGTGACGAGAGGCAGCTTTGGAGTTGGCCCTGCATATAAACATTGACTTGGTTCCTTGCTTGTTCTAATTCTTGCCTTTAAACATTTGGAAAGAAGGGACTTTATTCTGATTACTTAGCACCGAGCTAAAACCCTGAAACAGTAAATTCTCCAAGTAATATACATAGAAATAAATTCATCATTATTGCAGCTTCTTTGATACTAAATATCGGTGAAGTAGAATGAATGTTTCACTGACTTGTATGTCAGTGACTTGTCATTTATGGTAAATTTCACTTTCCCAGCTTGGCTGTCCTCTCCTATCTTTGATCTTTTCAGTTCTTTGAGGTAAAAGTAAGCATTTATTTCTTACCCTGGTCCTCAAGAACTAATTTATATTCATGTTTCCAGATGTCTTCCTTGAATTCTAAATCTTACGCATTGGTTTTGGTAAGATGTCAATATAGATCACGAGAGGTTAGCAGTTCCATTTCTCAAAATAGAAGCCAGGAAAATAGAACAAAGTATAGACTGCTTGACCTCTAAATGGTCTTCCTTATGGACAGAGTAATTGAATTCATTCATCATTCCATGAGGGAAGCTAATTTTACAGGCCCCAAATCAGGAAAGTAAAAAACTAAAATTGATCCACTAGGATCAGTAGAGAAATACTTTTTAACTGATTTTTCTTATTCAAGAACTGTTTTCAGTATTATTTACAAAATTTTCCAAATATCCCCAAGCTATGGAATGTCCAGAGAAATGGATTGGTGCAAGAGACAAGTGTTTCTATTTTTCGGATGACACCAGAAACTGGACAGCTAGTAGAAGATTTTGCAGTTCACAAAGATCAGAACTTGCTCAGATTGATACACCAGAGGATATGGTAGGAAAAGGGGAATGTTTTCAATCATTTCAGAACTTAAGTTTGTACAAAGAGAGAATAGAAATGATAGAAGCTAATACTCTTACAATAATGTTGGAGAGAAAAACAAAATATCCTTTACCCTTCTAGGATCTTCTGGCTGGTCTAAGGATTAAATTGACATGAGGCAGATTAACAGGAGAAAATCAAATTGAATTACATACATATGGGGGCTCCATGGGAAAATGAGACCCCAGGATGAGTTAGACAAAGGAGGCTTATATGTCACCTGAAGGAAAAGGAAGAGGGTAGGGGGTTTGGGATTTCAAAGAGGAAGAAAGCAATTCACATGGAGATGGAAAGACAAATGTTTGCTATGCCAGACAGAGATGAGGGGACACGGAGAGGACTTTGGTGTCCAGGTTCAGCTGAGTTCCTCCACCGCACAGAGCTTTGTTCCCTGCAGATGTCCCTGGTGGCAGTGCTCTTCCTGGCCCTGGCCCTTTGTCTAAATGCTTTTAGGCAGTTAAGCAGGAAGTAAAAACAAAGACTTCTCCGCTCCTCTCTTTCCTAAATATAATCAGCCTAAAATAATCCTCATGCCAAAGAGACACATTTTGAGGTGACACACATTTTGCTCCCTTTCAGTAACATACGCCACACAGTGTTTTAGGCACTGTAACTATGAAAACTCCGGTAATCTTCAACCAATGTCTATGAAGTCGACATTTAAATGTCCTTGTTTTAAAGATAAGGAAAGTGAAACAGAGATGGATGCCATCCAGGTGTTGTCACACGGCCATAAATTGTTGAAGTGAGATTTGAACCCTGGCAAATTAGCTAGTGATGTTATGTCCTTAGTCACAATGCGTATGGTTTATATAGCTAAATGTCTTTGTTCAATGTTCTTAACAACTCTTAAGTTGTTAAATACTTTTTAGTAACTTCCCATTTGCATTCTGTCAAGAATAGCCTGGAAAAAATGAAACAAAACAAAAAAAGATTTGGCTCTTGGAATTTAGAGAGGAGGATTGGAAGGAAGTATGCGCGATTTGAAGAAAGTGAGGCAGTCAATGGAAGACGTAAACAGGGCAAAGAAAGAGGGACATGGACTCCAGGGGCACAGGGTGACGGAGAGCTTTGTTTGTATGTAAAGAAAAGCTGACTAATAGGTTTGTGGTCCAATAGCAAGGAGCTGGTAGAGGAATGACTGTGGAATGATGGTGCTCAATGTATTTTATTACAATAACTCATGTTCACCCAGAAGTTAGATTTCTGATTATATGAGAAAATATGCAATGGCAGTAACATTCTATGTTTCCTTCCAGTTTTATTGCAATATAATTGTGTAAGTTTAAGGTGTATGGGATAATGATTTCACTTACATGTATCATGAAATGATTGTCACAGTAAGTTTAGTGAACATCCATCCTCTCCTATAGACACAAAATTACAGAAATAGCCATCTTTTTCCTTGCGATGAGAACTCTTAGCATTTACTCTCTTAACAACTTTCATACACAACACACTTATCACATTGTACATTACATCCCTAGTATTTATTGATCTTGTAACTGGAAGTTTGACTACCTTCGTCCAGTTACTCCTCCCCCCATCCCCGCCTCTGGTAACCACACATCTGATCTCTTTTTCGATGAGTTCGTTCGTTCGTTCGTTCGTTTTTGAAGTATAATTGACCTGCAACATGTTAGTTCACGTTACACAACAGAGTGATTTGGTGTTTCTACACCTTTCAAAATGGTCACCAGGATAAGTCTAGTTAGATATGTCACCATCCAAAGACATTACGTGGTTACTGAGAATATTCCTCACTCTGTACGTTTCATACCTGTGGACTTTATTTTGCAGGTGGAAGTTTGTACCTCAATCTCAACTGTTTCTCTCCTCTCCCCATCCCTCACCCTTCTGGCAACCGCCTGTTTGTTCTCTGTATCTAAGACTCTGTTTGTGTTTTGTTATGTTTGATAACTTGTTTTGGTTATTAGATTCCACATGTAAGTGAAATCATTCAGCAATGACATTTGTATTCTGATATCTGCTCGGAGTAGTTTCTGACTGAGTTTTCTTATTATAACAGTATTTATACCATTAAGCCCCTCTCCCCCTGGAAGATTTTTGGGCGAGGAATTGTGCACAGAACAAGATATAAGCAGTAGTTCTCTGTCACCCTTAGAGAACTCATCAGCTCCTGATTTTGTCATCCAGATATAACATCCTGTCGCTTCAGAGTCTTTATCATTCACTCTGTGACTAAAGCATACTGATGCTTTATGCATTAGAATTTGAAGGAAAGGATGTCAAATATATTTTTCTCATCAGTTTCTCATTTGAGTGCTAGAAATTATCTTGAACAGTAATTCAAGACATTGTAGCTCAGAGAGTTCCAATGACCTGATGAAAGTCACTCTATTACTTAGAGATGTTTAAGAAGTTAAAAAGCAAAGTGAAAATCGTTCTGATAAAACTAACCTGAACATCACTGTCTGCTTTTTGTTGCTATGGCAGCATTAGGGCATACAGATTAAGGTCTAAATCATAAAAGATGGGATGGCTGGAGTGAAAAGCATGTTCAGCAGTGGGCTCTAAAATATTAAGTAATGGAGAATTCTCTGATTTTTGTGAAAGAAATTTTTGAAGATGTGCACAGGAACTTCTATGCACTGGATTGGACTGAGCAGAGCACTGGGAGAGTCTTGGAGATGGACAGATGGCGCTACATTCAATGCCTGGTGAGATTCAAATTTAGTAGGAGACGTTTTACTCTGGTGCTGGATAAAAAAATTTAAGTCATTTTGAGTGGTATTATTATAAATAAATTTTCCTATTTTCTATATGTCATTACCTCCCTCAGTTTCCACCCTGTGACACGGGTCCTCTCACACTGAAACATATCCTAGAACAACTCACCTTCCTTCTGTGTTGTTATATGACATACAGTGAAATTTTCCTTTTTTTTTTTGTTTTGGTTTCTGTGTCTTGTTTTTATCACCACGCTCTTGCTAATAAACTCTCCTTTTGTTAATTCAAATACAACTATTCTGCAAATCCAAAGCCAAACCCTATGTATTATTTGCACCTTTTTTCTAACTAAATTTATGCAAATCTCTTTTTTCTTTTAAGAGTTAGAGGCCATATAGTTGTCTTTGACTTTACAGTTGCCCATTGTAAGCAATATTGTTTATTAATGTAATCATTTCTTGAGTGAATGTTGTTTCCTGTCTTATACACTTTTTTACTTGAAAACAAGAGCTGTATGAATTTTCTTTTGCATCCATGTCTTCTTTCCTTAATATTTCATTAAGTGCTAGATAAAAAATGACAATAAACTTAGAAATCTGTAAGACGGGACAAATTACACTTATTATAAAAAAAATAAAAAATTTGGTCATCAGCAGGACAAATTAACAAACTATTATAATTAGTCTATTTGGCTTCTATCTAGTATATTTCAAAAGTACCAGGTGAATATAAATGTTTCTTACTTTCAAAAAGGAACATCGGCTAAAAATACAGCAGGTAATATGCCAGGAAACAGCTTTAAAAAAATTCCATAGATCTTTATATTTAGAAACACTCTCTTAATAGAAATAGACATAGATAAATGTAGATATATAGACATATTTATATCTATGATTTATCCATGTCTATTTATATTTCTGCCTTTCTGCCTACTGTTCTAATAAAGTTGCAGATTATGCTAATAATTATAATAGTATTAAATACCTATGTTCTGTCTTATATTCCTTTAATGTAGCAGACATTTTGAGGGTAGAGTATGGTGATGGGCTCAGTGAAGTGATGAAGCTTTGTGTTTTGTATAAAATGTTTCAATTACTCAGTTCTTAATCTGATTTTTGATTACAGCTGTAGGTGTTTCCTAAACTGATTTCAATGGTTTCTTTTCAGGTTTGAAATTAGCGGGAATGGACTGTTTGCTTTCCTGAACACCGATGGAGTTTCTAGTTCCAGGGGACTTGTTGATATCAAGTGGATTTGTAGCAAACCAAGATTTTAATAAAGGAAAAAAACTGGAAAATGAATAGAGTATTTCAAACATGAAGGAGAGGGCTAGAGTATAAACTTTAATAAATATTGGTGATTTACAATGTTGCATTGGTTTCTGGTGGACATCAGAGTTTTGCAGGTATTAAACAAAGGAACTAAAAATTGTTGAATGAATGAATGGTTATAGGTAGAACCTCATCAATTCAAGACATAACCGCAAATGACTATAACTCAATAAAAAAATTGTTAAAAGAAAGCTTGAAAAAAAAAAAGACACAACTGCTCACTATGAGCTCAGGTCAGGAAACTTCTGTTAAATAGGACCAAACAAAGTAGCAATGAACAATGAGATGGCCTTTACCACAAGGATGGTTATGATCAATTTAAAGGTATCAATATTGATGGGCCAGCCAAGACCTACAGCTTAAAATTCAGAGAAATATATGTGCTTTATATGGGTAAATATGACAAAATACTAACTCCAGTCACTTTGGTTTAAAGAAATGTTACAAAAGAATCACCTATGAAAAGTCATGTATTTCAACAATGTTTTAAAAATAAGGGAAAAACCACCAGGAGAAACTCTAAGTAATAGCCATAGATAAATGATCAGAATTATATATTAAAGTTACAAAGCTTAGATTGTAGACTATAAACTGGAATAATAACACTAAATGTGATTAAAACAATAGATTATTGGAAAAAATTCAATTCCCCACGTGAGGGCAAGGAGATAAGGCTTACGATGCCTCCTTGGATGTGTCACAAAATTGCAAATCTTCACGGTGTGGGGAAATTATATCAAATTGGCCCTTGTTATGTTAGCTTAAGTTTCATTTCTTCCCCACGTAACTGTAAGCTCTGATTGCAGAAGGAAATGTGAGTGTAAGTGAATAGAGAGACATTTAGTAGACAGAGAAACTGAAGAAAAAGGGGATTATCTCGCCTACAGGGTAAAGACACAGAAGCACACAAACAAGTCCTTCTCCCGTATCTTTAGTGGAGGCTCGCATCCTAAATTACTGCAGATGGAACTTTCTGATAAATGAAAAAGGAGACTTGTGAACCCCACCCGTAAATGTTTTCACCAGTACTATATATGGGCAAATACTTGGCAAATATCAACATGCAATCAAGCATGGGCATATATTGTCTGTTCAACATGTTGTCACCAAGAAAACTGGGAACTATGAATTTTAAACACCATTGTATATTACAGTTTGATGTATTAACTTTTGGCTCAGTTTCAGTTTAGGTTTCACTTGACTCATAAGTTTTACTTACATTGTTGGTTCATGGTCACAAATTAATTTTAATTGCTTAGAATAATCCATCCCTTGTTTTCCTTTGATTCACACATACTAGGATATAAATTCCTGGTGGCTTAGCGTGAACTACAAATGGAATTTTTGATGGAGTTAAATTACTACCTCACTGACATAGTGTTTCATTTATTTTGAAATCTGAGAGAGTTTTAAATAAATGAGAGGAAAATAACGAACTTTACTTTGAATAGAATTGTAGTTAGAAAACTAAGGAAGTCTGACTGTTCTCAATATAATAATATTTAAATATAAACTTGATTAAAAGGGAATGAATTGTGGAATCACATTAAATACAAGATTGTATATTACTTCAAATAGACAGTTCATACTTACAACGTCTGAGTACATTTTTTTAACCAGTTGAAGGTTTGATTTTTTTTAATAAAAATTGAAAACAATTAACTAAGGGAAAAAGCCTACCAAGAAGGAAAAAAATTGCAGAACTATATCTCTGTACCTCATCTATTATTTCACCAAATGCACATGAAGAGTTAGAACTCAAGGAACACAACACACATAAGGAATAGGCAGGATTGGAAGATTAATGATTTTTTTAGACACTGAAGCAATAAGGAATAATGTTTTGTAGTTTAAAAGTAAGTTATGTTTTGTAGTTTAAAAGTAGGTTATGTTTTGTAGTTTAAAAGTAAATTATTGTATTTTCTTCCTTTGAAGTATTATATCTGGTTAGGAATACTTGAAAAAACTTTATTTGTACTAAAAAAATTATATTCCACTAATGAAAAAAATTGGCGCTATTAACATCCATACATATTTCTTCTGGTTCTTTAAATGCACAGATTTGCTTTTGTTGTTCAGACAGCATCTCTCTGGCAAATGCCATTAAATTTGGAGTCACAGTCTTCAGAATACACTTGACTTCTTGTTACGACAGCACAGTTCGTGTTACCCATTGATCCAATCACGGAAAAACTAGGAGAAACAGGCCGACTACAGAACATTTATCTTAAAATAAGGATTGTATTTCTTAAAGCTTCCCCCCGCCAAACCTCTTCAAGTGTTTTTCTTCAGCAGTCAAAATGTTAGAATGAACTCTTCCAGTTCATTGCCAGTGATTGTATTTGGACAATCTTTTGTTTTTTTTTAATTTTTATTGAAGTGCAGTTGATTTACCATGTTAGTTTCAGGTGTACAGCAAAGTGATTCAGTTATACATAGACATACAGATATATATTTTCCTCTCAGATTCTTTTCCATTATATGTTATTACAAGAAATTGAATATAGTTCCCTGTGCTAGGCAGTAGGTCCTTGTTGTGTATCTATTTTATATATGGTAGTGTGTATCTGTGAACCGCCCACCCCTAATTTATCCCTTGCCCTCCCTTTCTCTTTGGGTAACGAGTTTTGTTTCTATGTCTGTGAGTCTGTTTTTGGTTTGTAAATAGAATTTGTATTTTTTAGATCCCACATATAAGTGATGTACCACGATAACTGCCTTTCTCTGTCTGACTTACTGCACCAGGCTCTCTTGATTCGCCTGCCCTCCACGCCCTCCCAGAGGGATGTCTCTCTTTGAGTAACATGGCCATAGGTGCTTTGGGCCATAACATGGCCCAAAGACTAGAAGCATCCCTGACTCTTCCTTCCATCTCAATGCACGAATTACATGTATCAGCAAGTCCTGGGTCTCCCAGCTCCAGATTCTTTCCTAGCCCAAGCTAGATTACCTCTCCCTTACCTCGGGTCACGACTTTCTAACTAAATTCAGTTTCAGTTTCAGTTTCAGTTCCCATCTATTCATTTTCCACAAGAAGCATAAATAATTCCCTTTAAAGGGTCAAGTAGATGTCAAAAAGAGTTTTTGGTAAAGACCGCATGGTCTGTACCATCTGCATGACAGATATTTTAAACACCAGTCAGAGTTGCAAAGCAGTAAACTAGGGATTTTTTTTTTAACTTCAGCAGCATGATAGGGTTAAGAAAATGTGTGCACAGAATTTTTTTGGAGACAGCTATTTCCTTAATTATTATTTCTGGCTATTGCATATTGTTAAAAAAATAAAAAACAAACACTATGATAGCCATCTGTATTTAATTTTCCTTAAATAATTAAATGCCAGCTTTTAAAATGAGATATGTTGCCATAGTAATATGGGTTTCCAAATAAAAAAAGAGCCTAGTTTTTTTTTTTTACTAATTTTTGTCAAAGATTGCCATCAAAGCAGGTCCAAAGAATGAATATTACTTCATACTTGAGTTTTATGTTCATGAAAGATGATAATGAATGGAGAACAGAAATATCTAGGTGTAGATACATATCCAGAGTGAAAGGAACTACCACTCCATGGTCTTTGCTCCAAACTTGCCACGTCTCAAGTGCTCTAGTGATGTGGCATGTAATGAAAATGAAAGCATGGAGAACATGCAAATGTATCTGAAACTTAAGAATTTTAAAGCCTCCTTATATGCATTACCTTATGTTGTTCACACAAGAATATGGTGACCAAACTTCATTGTTCTTTTCAAACATGTGAAGAAATTGACATCAATGAGTTTAAAATAAATTTCTAAGGACAATACATGAAATTTATGCTTTCTGATTTCAGTCCAAGAGACGTTTTTTAATGTGACTTTTATCTTTGCATTTTGTATATAGAAAATATTTGCTTAATATTGTTTTAAATGAGATTTAAGTCAGCTTAACAATTTTTGCCTAATTACCATTTTTCAACAATTACTGATTTCCAGGAGCCATAATGAACATCTTCTATCCCAACCAGTGGATGTTAAAAGTAGTAGAGAAAGCAAAGAAGAAAGGTGAAAAAGAAAGAAGAAAAAGAGAGAGAGGAAGAAAAAAAAGTAGAGAAAAAATTTCTCTAAAGAAAGGAGGAAAGGAAGAAAAAAAAATAAAAAGACTAGAGAGCAAAGAACCTTAAATAAAAATACCTTTCAGTAAATAGAACATCAGTATGCCACCAGCCCTCCTCCACAAAGAAGTACTTACTGTTTTTGTTCCATAAAAAGGTGCTCATTTATCCACATCCATTGTTTTCCTGGAGATATCATATATAATCCAATCCAGCTAGGATGGCCCGATTTTAAACTCTTCTGTGTGAACTCCTATAGAGGAAATAGTGTATTCATTCATTCATTCATTTATTCAAAATTATTTTGATGGTTTCTATAGAGTAAGTCAGCGTGCCAGGCATTGATAAAATGGCAAAGAATCTTTTCGTTCAGAGTAATAGAGTTTCTTTTTTAATAAACAATGGAAATCATATTATGGGGAAGGAATGTTCAAAAGCAATGACTATAAATCACCCACACTTAGAATTGCACCTAGCAATTCATCCTTGGGCACTTAGATCCCATTTCTGATTCCTCACCAGCTCTTCTGAATTTTGAATCACTGGCAAATGTGCCTGGAGCTTTGCACAATCACGTTGACGCTCATTCCAAGTTTTAGAAAAAGTTGAAAACCTGTAACATTTCCCTTGGTTCCATAGCCAGTCTTCTGGGCACACAAAATTATTTCCTGAAGGAAAAGGTAGGGGAAAAAATCAATCAAACTACAGTTAATAGAGAAAGCGTGAATAGTATCAAATGTAATTGACTGGAAAATAGGTTTTGGACAACCTACTTTTTGTGATTAAAAGACACCTCTATTAGCAGAGCAAGAATGAGATTAATTCATAATCTGTTTATTTCCTGGAATGGAGGCAGAGTTTTGGGCTATGGGTTGTCAAGAACAAAGCTTATGAATTCTGCCCCCAATAATTAGGGGAGACAAATAATATTTTAAAGTGTTTATTATTAACTAAAAAATTAAAAACCTGTTGTTTGAATTTCCCCACGATCTGGTTCTGATTGCCTTTTCTTGAAGGTGTCCTTGCAACCTGCACTTCACGTCTGTGACATTACTTACTGTCACCCTTACTTACTTCATTGCATTGGTTGCATTTATCCTCATAGGCTTTTAATTCACACTGCTGCCTTAGCCTTGAATAGCTTCCCTTCCTTCTTCATCCTCTAAATTATACCTGTCTTTTAATGTTCAATCATATTTCCACCTCAAAAACAAATCCTTTAACTGGTCATAATTTCTGCCACCTCTAAAAGTCATAACACTCAGGTGTCACTTAGCAAAGGATGAATTGTCCATGACCTAGTCACCTGTGAACGTCTCCATATCTATCTGACTGGAAGGTTCTTGAGATAAGTGTCATATTCATCTCCCTTTGATTATAGTGTCTAACTGTTGATTGTTGAATGGTTGAATTAAATACTGTTAATTAAGTTGGAGCATCACATACTTTTCATTGTTAATATTTCAGGTCTATCATCTATAAGCCTAAAATTTTGCAAAAGTTTATTTTAGGAAATTGATTTAATATGTCCAGCTAAGATGGGAAAACAAAGTAACATCAGCAGACATAACTAGAAGACTATCTTGGACTAATTTTCAATGTTTAAACATCATACACATCCTTAACTCATTAATATACTTGGTACCAAGAGTTGCCAATTGTAAGTAGATAAAATCTTGCAAAAACATCTGATGACTGAAGGTAATCGGGTTCTAATCTCAGTTGAACAAGTACACAGTCATCTGCTAGAAGGCATAAAATGACCTCAAATATACCTCCAATTTATGACTGGAAAGGGGGTATTTATTCACTATTATCAGTGAGAAGGAGCCATTTGAATGAAGTAATTCCATTTCATGGATATGGGTAGACTGGTCAGTACAGTTCTAGAGCTGCAAAACACACTGAAAGTACACCAAATAATCAGGGTAATGTGGTAAACATCAAAAAATGATGCAAAATGTGAACACTAATTGTCTAAAAGAGTTATTATAGTTAATTCAGCTTCAAGTGCCATGTTCCCTATTAAGAAGAAATATCATGGGGATGAGGATGGAGAAAAACATTTACTGAGCAACATTTTGTATCAATTCCTGTCTCAGATGCTTTGCATGTTAATAACAACTAACCCAAATTGCCATTATTGTGGACCAAGCAGGTTTCTAAGCACCTAACATATATTTATTTTTTCAAACAACTTTATAAAATAGAGAAGTATGTTAAATGACATCGTGGACATATAAAAAAGATGAATCTAGGCTATGAGAAATTATATAGAACCATGATCCATTTTTTTCCCATCAAATAGATGTCTAAGAAAAAATAAAAGGCAATAAAAAGGATGTACAGATTAAGAGACTCCAGAGACATTTTAACTTTGTTCTGCCCCCGATTTCTAACAAGTCAAGTGTGGGATAATGGTGATGATATTAAGAGGTTATTGTCAATTTTTTTTTTTTAGGAATTGTGGTAAATGAAATTCTAAAATGGCCCGAAGACTTCTGTCCTGTGTGATTTGCTTCTCTTCAGTGTGAACTGAACTTCAGAAAATGATGGTCTGTTACTCCTATGATTGTTGTATTATATGACAAGACAAAGTGATTCTGAAGACTAAAGAAACATCCCCAATCCCGTGATTTTGAGTTAATGAAAAGACAGAGATTATCCCAAGTAAGCCTGACTGAATCAGGTACAAGTCCTTTAGAAGGGAACTGGGCCTTTTCTGAAGAGAGAGAGAAGTCCTATTGTCTTTGGGGAATTAAACTTCCCCGTCTTGAGAGGATGTACAAGAATAACTCATTGGCAAGGAAATGCAGGGTGCCTCTAGGCACTTAGAGCAGCCCTGTGTGAGAGCCAGCAGGAAAGCTGTGCTCTCAGTCCTCCGGCCACACGTACCTGAATTGCACTAACGACCACACGAGCTTGCAAGAACCTCAGGTCCAGAAAGGTTCACGGTCTGGCCAACAACTAAACTGTATCCTGTGGGATCCTGAATAGATAATTGAGTTAAGCTCTGTCCGGACTCCCAACCCAGGGAAACTCTGAGGCAATAAATTGTGGGTATGAACTATTAAGTGTGTGGCAATTTGTTATACATCAAGAGAAAACTAGCACAGGAGTTACAGTGATATTGTGATTATGTTAAGCAAAAGGATCCCTTGAATATAAAAATCACAGACTGAAATATTTAAGTATTAAGTGGCATGATGGCTGGTAATAGCTTTAATATAATCTAGTTTGGGGGAGCTATGATGGTGGAGATACAGACGAAATCATGTTTAGTATATAATTGATAATTGATGCTATTGAAAGGTACATGGAGATTTATTACATAATTCTCTCCTCTGTTATATTTTTCATGATAAAAATCTAAGAATATAATAAAACAAAATATTATGAAGTAGACATTATCATCTCCCTCAATTTACAGATGAAAAAAGTGAGCCTATCCAACTCTCCCAAAGTCATATAACAGATAAATATCAGAGCTGAAATTCCAATCCAGTTAGTTTGGCTTCGTGGCCCATGTTTTAATCAATGAATCATACCACCTCCACTCTATTGTAATTGATGTTAGTGAGACAGAGTTCATCAGAGAAATAGAACAATTTATATGTTTGTGTGTGTGTGTGTGTGTATGTTTATAAAGAGAAAGAATGAGAGGAGAGAGAAAGAGATTTTATGAAACTGGTTCATACCATTATTAAGGCTGACAAGTCCAAAATGTTCAGGCTGACAAGCTAGAGACATAGGGAAGAGCTGATGTTGCAGCTTGAGTCTGAAGGCACTCTAGAGGCTGGATTTCCTCTTTCTTGAAGCCCTCCAGTATTTTTTCTCATAAGACCTTCAACGGATTGGATGGGGCCCACCTACATATGGAAGGTAACTTGCTGTACTCAAAATCTACTAACTTAAATTCTAATCCTACCTAAAAGGAGCATTCACAGCAACATCTAAACTAGTGTTTGATCAAATATCTGGGTGCTATGCACTGCCCAGCCAAGTTCACACACAAAATTAACAGTTGGTTCAATCTTCACTAAATATTCTACGATGTAGTTATTACACTCCCATTTGAAAGTTTAATTTTCCTAAATTCATGTGACCAGTTGATTGAAATCTCTTGATTCAAACATAGAACAACAACACGTTACAGACAGAATAGAATATTACCTGCTAGGCTGGTGATATTTTCTTTCTGAGAGAAGTCCATTTTTTTAACTGCACTCACTGCAAAGAAAAAAAGATAATAAGAAATATTTTTTAATGAATAACAATCTAGGTATATGAGAAAATACTAGCACAAAATAAAGACATGCAAATAAAAATTCAAAGTCTCCTTCTTTTTTTTTAATCAATATATCTTTTAAATCTCTTTTCATTTATACCAGTTCACATATATTTGAATACCACTCTCTCTCCACTCCCTTTTATGATATTTGTTTGCTAATCTGTAAAATTTCTTATAGTTTGATGAGTTGCATCCTTTAACAAGTTCTTCAATCCCCCCCGACAGTTAGATTTAGAAGCTTGTTAATATTAAGAATCAAAAAAAATTTTTTTGCAAAAATATATTATAAGGGGTACTGGGAAAGTACATAAGGGAAAGGGAAAGTACATAATGTCTGGTTGTTCCACTTTTACTGGTGTTAATTTTATTGGTGATTTCAGATGTGGTCAGCATGAAGCCATCCTTTATAAAATGCCACATCATTCTCTAAGCTAACTGTTTTAGCAGCTGTTGATGTTCTTTGTCTCCATTTATTATTTATTATTTTATTAAGGACTACCCAATAGTGGGTTTTTAAACTTCTGTAAATTCCTTCTGTAATTATGACTATGATTCTAAATAAAACAACCCCTTTTTCCCCATTCGACTGTTTGGTTTTCCTAAAGCACAATTCACATACAAAAGACTAAATCATATTGCTTGACCCTTTTCCTTTTTCTACTAATCTTTAGAGTTGAGGCTCTAAGAACTCCCAAAGGTGACCAATTTGTTTTTAACTTTACAGCTTTTTTTGAGGCATAGTTGACACACAGTGAACTGCATTAATGATGCTGAGTAGCTTTTTCAGTACTTGTTAGATGTTCACGTATCACTTTGATGAATTACCCGTTCAGATTTTTTGCCTATTTTTTTTATTGGGTTGTTTGTCTTTTTAGGACTGAGTTGTAAGAGTTTTTGTATATTCTAGATATGATTACTTTGTTGGATATGTTTTATAAATAATTCCTCCCAGTTCGTGGCTTGAGTTTTCATTTTCTTAATGGTGTCTTTTGATAAGCAAATTTCTATTTAAAATTTTGATAAAGTTCAGTTTATCCATTTTTTTTCTATTATGGATGGTACTTTTGGTGTTATGTCAAAGAAATGTTTGCCTAACCCAAAGTCATCAAGAATTATTTTGTGTTTTAGTTCTTATTTAGGAGTTAATTTTTGCATATGATATGAGGAGAGATCTAATTTCTTTTCTTTTTTTTCTTTTTTCGTATATGGATATCTAGTTCTGGCACCATTTGTCGAAGTGATTAAATCCTTTGAAACCTTTCCTGATTGAATTGCCTTGACACCTTGTCAAAAAGGAGTTGATGATAGATGTGTTGGTCTTTTGCTGGACTCTCATTCTGCTCTGGTGACCTGCATGTCAGTGTAGTGTTATGCCAGCACCACACTGTGCTGATTACTATAATCAT